CTGAACCCCAAAACCCTAAACCTCGAAACCCAAAGCCAAGGCTTCCCAGGCAGACAGGAGGATCTCTTCGAGAACGACACGTGACAGGCCCAAATTCACAAAGCTCAACATACCTTTAGGGTTTATGGTTTAGGGTTTAGGGTGTAGGTTTAAGGGTTTTTTTTTGGGTACTGCCCTCACCCTGTACCCCCTAAAGGATCCAAAAATATGGTTTAGGAGGTAGTGCTTATTGTTGTGTTCATTTTTTTTTCTTGTTGGAGGGGGGTGTGGCTTAGGTAGGGTTTAGGGTGTAGGATTTAGGATCCAAAAAGGGAACCCCCTAATCCCTAGTTTCCCCAGTGTAGCAATGGATTCATATCGGGTGGGGGGTTCCATTTGTTGGATCCCTTTGGGGGCCTGGGCAACAGTCTGTCTATATTAGGGGTCATATTCATGAAGGGCTCTATCTATATAAAAATGCATTATCACTATAATCCAACTGTTGCAGAGTGTGGGCAGTACCCTAAACCCTAAACCCTAAACCCTAAACCCAGTACCCAAAACATGCTTGTGGGTGACACTAAGTGCTCAGCCTTGCTTTAGAGGATTGACATGTGAGTAGTGCTATATTACAGGGGTTATATAGGGGGTATATTGGGTGTATATGGGGATAATGGAAAAGAAAATGGAAACTACTATTTAGGGTGGGTAAGGGTTTTATGAGGGAACTGCCTCAAATTACAGGAGCATGATTTCCTTGGATTTGACATAGGGTATAGCATCTAAGTCCTGGATACAAGGAACCCAAGTGCGCACATTGTTTTATGAAAGGAAGCCAAAACACCATCTTGCTCGTCATGCATTTAAGCCGTTGGGCAATCAGACCACAAACCTAATAATACGAAGCTTGCTGCTGGTTAGTAGGGAACGGAGTAATGGAACCCTAATATTCTAGAATCCCCCCGAATGAATGGTCCCCACAACAGGTTGCTTCGTTCCCTACTAACCACCCCGAATAGCTCAGATACAGGCAGCATCCTCCACAGTGATGAGCCCATTGGAGTCTGAATCCAGCCTCCAACATGAAGTTGTTTTCTCTAAATGGGGGACCCTTAGCGAGCCTAGGGGGGACCTGGGATTACATAAGGATTCTTCAGGTATCTGCCAATGTCACAAAAATTGGGAAAATGCTGAAGTGAAGAGACTCACACACACTACAAGGCGAGGAGAACACGATTTCATGGTAATCTACTTGACCGAAGGTACCAGTATGTCGCCGACAAGTTTAAGGATGTTTTAATGTTGGCAATACATAGGGGCTTTTAAGCTCCCCCTGGGTCCTTGCACTCATTCCCTGTAGAAAAAGTGTGACCACCAGGAAAAACATGAAGCCTGTGGAACCCTCTACAAAATTCATCACTTTGTGGCTCAGCAGCAGGTAGAAAAGATTTTCGAAGAAAATCAGCTTCTCCGTATCTGTCGCAGAAAGGTTTGACTGGCTGAGCTCTTGGATCTTGGCGCCCTTCCTGAGTTGAAACTGGATCACGGTGAAATCCTTCCAAAATTAGGGCTAGGGTTGAGAGTTATTCTACATAGGTTCATAGTACTCCTTCAACCTTCAAACACGTTCTCTTATAAAAGTAAACCGTACTCCTTGACGTTAAAAAGGTTTCCAACAATGACCCAGGTTCTGAATGAACGTATTGCTCGCCTGGAGCTCAACACAAACAAAAAATGCTTGGCATACCATCTTCCCCTAAAGAAGCCGATCATTAAATGCCATAGCGTGTTCTATAGCATGGCAGGCTGAAAATAGCTGGAAATAGCTGCTTTCCCAGAAACAGAAGGATGCAGTGGTCAGGGAGATTTAAACTTCACCCAGGTAGGCGTGGCCCAGCCCTGCGAACAAGCCCAAACATATCTCGCCCCCAGGGCTAGCCACAAACAGAATTGGTAGTTTCCTAAATAGGGGACTCCAATATAAGCCCAAGTACTATAGTCCTTAACGGGACCCCCACGAAGGTACCCTTGTTTTTGGGAACCCGCCAATTGAACCTTGTTTTCCCGCGGAATAGCGTTGGCGCATGACCTCGCTGTATCCAACCCTGACGCCTTGAAACCAAAGCCAGAACCCCTGCCCCAGACCCCCCTGGTTCCGAATTACATGACGCTACGACCTACAAGACTAGAAGACAAATTGGCAATAGTTAGATTCAGTTAGATGACAAAAGCACTAGCAAAGTAAGCTCACTCCAGACAAAGAAACCTTTTGGGTGCCTGTGGTGGCGGAATCCTTTGTGTCGAGAGCTCACTCCAGCAGTTGTTCATGACAGGAACCCGGCAATTCAGAAGTTCTTGGAGGCCCTCTTCCTACTAGAAACCACAGCTTTCTTGACTTAACTGAACCGTTTGTGGCATCCACGGCGCCGTCAATTTGTGCTCTGAATGGCGTAGCTCGCGGTAGATGCGGCCAGCGTTTGATTCCACCAGCCTAAGAATGAACCTAGAAACTCATGCCTAGCTAGGCTGGGTTGCTGTTAAGGAACTTAAATAAAGTTACCATAATGGGTATATTTAGTAAATAATAGGGTTTCCCCAATATAGTAACTTAAATTAAGTTCCTTAACAGCAACCCAGTAGGTGGGCAGTTACTTCTGCTACTGGGTTGGGTCCGGCATAAATTAGTGGTTCAGGCCTTGCTCTTTTATGCTTGAGTAGCTTGCAAAACCTGAGAACCAAAAAAGACAAAACAAGAGGATGCCGCACAGTGAAGCCCATGTTTGGAATCCGAAGATGGGAGTGCCTTTTGGGACATCACCTTCAACCGGCTTCATGGCCTCATGGCCATTCACAAGAGGGAAACCCGTTCCTGTTGGGGTAGGTTTCTCCGCATCTGGCATGGCATGGACCTCTTTTTTGGCAATGCACTACACCAAATCCAGTAGTAATGGCCCGGGAGCAGATTAGGGTCTGGCCTGCAAAGGCACCACGGTGCTGCCCAAGCAAGCCACTTCCTCATTCGCGAATGCAGGGCTTCACAGCTTTGACTTTCGTTTTGCAAGGGCTTTCGTGACTGCGTGAATAATTCAAAACGGCACCTGAGGAGTGCCTTTCTGATGAATGCGTAGCAATGGAAACGTGCTCGTTTTGCAGGCTGATGCCCCTAGGACATACGAATAGGGCCGTTGGGCTTGCTTGAGGATCCGTCAGCGCGGCAGGGCTAAGCCCACACTCCAACTTTTGACACGGACAAACTGGGTAGCACTGTGGACGGAAGCAAACACAAGGACACTTGACACTCCTTAGTCTGCATTTAACTTTGCGTCTGGCATGTTGGGTATGCTCTTCGATTCCTGCTCGAGCCGCAACAGATGCCCAACATCCTGAAATGGTTGAATGAACTGCCGAGTGTCGGAAGGAAGTGCTGGTCAATGTGAAAGGCAAAGAACAGAACCAGCATGGTCTCGACCAAGCTGGCACAACAAAACACGGTGTTCCTCAGGAGCAGGATGACTAAACCGAAGGGAAGGTCTTAGGAAGGGGGATTAGTACTCATGTGCGGAGTTCAAGGTTTGCCTAAATCGTCAAGGAGGAGGGCCCCTTGTGCCAAACAGATCTGCACCCCACGCCCCACTCTGGGTCTACTCCCTCAAAATCTTATTTTGCTCTTGCTTCGGCAGGGCTCACCAGCATGAAAAGATCTATCCAAAGCAGCTCGCCACAGACTGGGACAAAGGAAGCGCCTGTTGTCTTCATCACCTGGATTTTTCTTTGTTTTCGAGGGCTTGAGATGCTCCGTACTCGGGATTCATGGCAACCCTATGGGCGAACTGCGCACTATACTTTAAAAGATCTTGAGAGGTTGCTGCACCAAGCAAATATGCAAAGCCTCGCTGTGTTCGGTGCATGGCCTTTTCGTTTAAGAGTTCAGGGTTGTACCACCAAGGCTGCAAGTTTCCCCATGCAACTCCGATATGGATCCTACATTCACGAGGAGATCCCCACAAAAATTCCCAAGACCCAGAGGTGCAAACAAAGAAACACTTGATTTGTCTGCGCCCCGCACTATGGACTCATGAGACAGGTCCCTTGCTGAAAGTTGTCTCGCTTGTGACTACCCAGATCCCCAAAAGATCCATGCTAAGAAGAGGTCACACGGGTCATTCGGAGTTTGTAGAGGGGATCTGATTTTTGGATCCTTTCAGGGGTCTGGGTACTCCTCCTTGTCACGCGTGAGGGCAGTAGGGAATCTGTCAGGCCACATTTTTCTTACAGAGTCTGCCAATCATCAAAAAGATGCATGAAGCGTTAACAACCACTATAATACTCCCCTCTAAAATCCCCTATATACCACCCTTTCAGCAATATAGACTGTAGCTCATATTGGGGCCCATCATGCCTCGATAACGAGCAGCAGCGTGATCCCGAAGGAGAGACGCTCGCCAACCTCGCAGGGTGGGCGGGCGATGAAAACTGGTAGGAGGGTCGACCAAAGGAATACAACGAAGCATTGGGCACACACCCTCTTTCAGGCGCTACTAGGCCTTTGGAGTAGAAACCTTCCTGAAACAAGCAGTTCATACACTGCTCACAGGCGTCAAATGCAAAGATGCAAGCTAAAAATCCTAAAGCCAGGTTGTCCCCTTCTTCTGTGTTTTCAAAGGTGGAAACTCAAGCTAGTCAGAGAGCTGAATGATTCACGCTGACTTTGGGCGGAGCTTTGTGTAGCTCACTTTCGCGCGGGAGGTGCGAAGGAATCTTCCCCAGTGCCTGCAATTATTGGGGCCTGTTGGTCCCCCGTCACCAAGCCAGTCTTGCTCACAAATGGACCTTGCTGATGAAGATTCTCGGAAATATTGGTTGTTCAGACGATCTACAATGCTGTCAGACTATTAACCCCAAGCTGGTTCCGAAAGCGCATCTCACGTAACCCCCCAGCCCAGCCTCATGGGACATGAAGAACACACCGAAGGAGAGATAGGTAATGAGCGTCGTAGGAAATATAATCAACAGAGAATAATAAAATGAAGCTCTGCCCAACTTCACTGTGTATTTCACCTCGGCTGACAATGCTGTTAAGCAGGATTGGGTTTTAGGCCATTTTAGGCATTGGGCCTTCGGAGGTCTAGAATCCTAGGAGTCTTTGCCCAAGCCAATGGATCCAACAAGTCACCTCATTGAACGAAACAGCTGACCCAAAGCAGCCGAGTTACCAAGGTCCATGGTTCACTCGGGTACGCATCGTAAAAATTAGTTTTGGTTTCGACCTCGACCCCTTCAATGCTGTACTCCTGATATGAGGATCCAGCAGTGTCCTCGGTGGTTGCCTCCGAGTATCCTTTGCCGCTGAGATTAATGCCTGGTCACGGAGTGTTGTCCGACCAAGATTTGCGGATGTAATTACTTAAGATTATGCAAAACGGGTATTTTCGGAGGCGCTCTTGATAATGCAACCCTTCTTCCCTTACTAATGTCCATCCATGGTAGCGGAAACCGGAAACAAGCTGTTGAGGGAGCGGGGGCCCTATTCCACACAAGGTGCATCTGGGGAGCTTCAAATTCCATGAACACCTTCCCAGAGCTTACAGTTTATATAGGGGGCTGTATAGGGAGAATATCGGGATAACGAAAAAATAGCTACTATTTAGGATTGCCTGCCTTGATAGCCACCTGAATATGTCCAGCCCCCCCATTCCATCGAGCACTTCAGCACATCGTGAGGGAAAGCCACCAAGCCAGAGAACTTGCACAGCGTGTCTAGCAGCCCGGGGCCTCGACTAACTCTCAGGGCAGGACTGCTGGCAATACTACAGTTGATGGCCAAAAACAGCACAGCAAATCCAAACGCTATAATTTTGTTCCACCAGCATGGAAATCCATGGGGTCCACATTGCTTTTAAGCAAGCCTTGATAATCCAAGCATTCAAAGTCTTAAGCTGCGAGTTCACCAACTCACAATGGTCTTGCAGTTGCCAAAGCTTTAAAAAAAGATGAAATGTTTTAATGGACATGTGATTTTGCGATAAACCAACTCTTGTGTGAAGACGTGTTTTCCAATTCGGCTCCAGGGGCGACTCCAAAACACGGATCCATCGGAATACGCCACAGCTAACGCATTGTCCAAAGAGAACTCATTGCCGACATTGGCATTGTACAGCTGCACGTCAGGCAACCAGATTTCTGAGTTTTCGGCATTGGTCGCATGCATTCCACGGAAATGTGTTGATGTGATGTTGCCATATGCGGCCGGGTCCCAGCTGAGGCGGGTGTCGTACCTCAGGAGTCTCACGTACACCTTTGGGACATGACAGCAAAGGACAAAAGAATGTGTTCCTGTTCCAGCTTTTCAGACCTCCAAGCCCTCAAAGTCTCCCGTCTAGAAGTGCAAATCTCAGCCAGTTCATGCACCCATTGATAAGCTCAGCCAGTAGATTCGCGAAATTCAACAAAACGTTTTTCGGGACTGGTGGCGGGAGAGGGAAGGTATTGACATTCGCTACACAAGCCAAGCAGCCACGACATGCGTACCCAAACCTTGAGGCGCATCTGCCCAACTGATGCATCAACTCCTTGCACCTTGAAAATGCGGATCTCCATAGCCTCAGTCACCATTGCTGTCTAAACAGAAAAAAAACCGACCAGCGTAATTACGACATGCCCATTTTGACACAAACCCAAACCCAACCCAGCTGAATCGCAACCTTGAAGCCACGTCAGTTCCAGCCTTGCTATACTCCACGGCCCGCTTGCTGCGAGGAGGGACAACTGAATCATAGTTGCGCAAGAGATCGGTCCGAAGCCGTGTGGCATCATCCGTATAAGATTCGGTGAACGCGCCACTTTGGGACGCCACCGTCCAAACATGCAGCAAAACCGCTGAGCACAGCGTCCGGCAAAGCGCCATGCTCAGGAAACATCATGTCATATTAACCTCCACCAAAATGCGGCGCCCAGTTTCTGGGCAACTTGGGCCGCCAAAGCTTCATGCGCCAAAGTTGGAATAAAATCAACTATCAGTCCACACCAAAATCGGCGAGGGCATATGCATGACATTGCGTTCAATGTCCTGGAGGTGAACTGGGGAATCTATCAAAAAAAGCCGGGAACGATGCCATGAGAAGCCACTCCCATTTGTAAGGACCGCGCCTCAAGCAACGCTTTGCTAGACCTTCCAGCATCACATGCAATTTGCGCACCAATGACGCATGGACTACACATGTCTTAACTTGGCAGACAGCGGCACAAAATTAGGCCACACTGGTTCGGGTACAGGTTTATTTTTGTCTGGTCCGGGCTCGTGGCCCGGTCCCGGTGGCCCGGTCCCGGTCCCGGTCCCGGTGGCCCGTGGCCCGGTTGCCCTTGCCCGGTCCCGGTCCCGGTCCCGGTGGCCCGTGGCCCGGTCGCCCGTTCCCGGTCGGTCCCGGTTCGCGGTTACTTGGGCAGCCCAATCCCAGTGGCCCGGTGGCCGGTCGGTGGCCCTTTGGCCCGGTCCCGGTCCCGGTCCCGGTTCCGGTCCCGGTTCCGGTCTCGGCTGTCCTTCTAATCTTGTGGCCCGGTGGCCCGGTCCCGGTCCCGGTCCCGGTCCCGGTCCCGTTACTTGGCCAGCCCAATCCCGGTGGCCCGGTCCCGGTCCCGGTCCGTGGTGGCAACCGCCCAATCCCGGTGGCCCGGTCCCGGTCCCGGGAGTTTGGTCATGTTCCCATGTAACACTTGTGAGCTCAAAGAGTCTCGCAGTGCCGGCCTTAGTAGCGAGCAGCAGCATTCCTGTGAAGGAAGTGTGTGGACAGGACTGACTGGGTGATTGGATTTGGAATTGAGACTTTGGTGATGTTATTGATTACTGACTGAACCCAAACATATTA